GGGGCGTGGTCAAATTGGTGTGTGGGCGTGGAGTGAGAATGAAAGATGCCGTCAAAGCAGGGGGGGAGGGGGCGTGGCTAACGGGGCGTGGGCAGAGGGTGGGCGTGGCTAAATGGTGGGTGTGGTCTGGATATGGATATGATGAATGGGCGTGTCCAAAGAGCGGTGGGCGTGTCCTAAGAGCGGTGGGCGGGGCTTAGTGCCGGCTCTCCTCCGATTGGTCGGCTGCTTGCCGTGATGGGCGGGGCTTGTGCCTGCGGGGCGTGGCCTGCGAGCTGTGGGCGTGTCTTAGTGCCTGCTGTCTGCCATTAATTGACTTTACTTCACGGTGGGTGGGGTTAAGTGCGAGTGGGTGGGGCATACGCCCCAGGGGCGTGGCCTTGGAGTGGGGGGGGCGTGGTCTGCGTGTGGTGGGCGTGGCTTATGTCTCACTCCCCTATGGGTCGGGTTCTCTCCGCGGTGGGCGGGGTTAAGTGCGAGTGGGCGGGGTTTGTCTCCGATGAGGCGTGGCCTGCGAGCAGTGGGCGTGTCCTCAGGAGGTTGGACGCCTTCATTTACGATGCGGCGGTGCTGAACTACATGGCGAGGAAGGACGAGGGCTGCAAGCTGGTGACCATCGGGGCAGGGAAGGTGTTTGCCAGCACCGGGTACGGCCTGGGCCTGCAGAAAGGCTCGCGATGGAAACGGGCCATGGACCTGGCGCTGCTGCAGCTGCTGGGGGACGGTGAGGGGGGCGGGGGGAGCGTGGGGGGGTGATGGGGTCCTGGGGGGAAATGGGGTCATGGGGGGCATAGGGGGTCATAGGAGGACCTTTGGGGTCATGGGGGGATACGGGGTCATGGGGGGGTGTTGGGGTCGTGACACAGCACTGGGGCAATGGGGTGACCCAGCCATGGGATGACCCAGTGATGGGGTGACTCAGGTGTGGGGCGATGGGTGACACAGCATTGGGGCAATGGGGTGACACAGCCATGGGGTGACACAGCCATGGGGCGATGGGGTGACCCAGGTGGGTCGATGGGGTGACCCAGCAATGGGGTGACACAGCTGTGGGGCAATGGGGTGACCCAGTGATGGGGTGACACAGCGATGGGGTGACCCAACCATGGGGTGATGGGGTGACCCAGCCATGGGGTGACACAGCCATGGGGTGACCCAGCCATGGGGCAATGGGGTGACCCAGCCATGGGGTGACCCGGCCATGGGGTGACCCAGCCATGGGGTGACCCAGCCATGGGGCGAGGCAGCCGTGGGGCGCTGTGGTGACGCGGTGCCGCCCGCAGACGAGCTGGAGCTGCTGGAGCGGCTGTGGCTGTCGGGGATTTGCCACCAGGAGCGCAGCGAGGCGGTGAGCAGCAAGCTGGACATCGACAACATGGCGGGCGTCTTCTACATGCTGCTCGTGGCCATGGGGCTCAGCCTCATCGCCTTCGGCGCCGAGCACCTCGTGCACCGCCGCCTGCGGGGCCGCCTGCGGGGACACGGGGGGCTGCTGGCGCTCAGCAGGGTGAGTGGGGGGCCGGGGGGGGGCGGTGGGGTTGTAGGGGAGCAAGAGCGGAAGACCGTAGTGTAGGGAAAGGGTGGGGGGGGGGGGGGGGGGGGGGGGGGGGGG